TGGGGTTAAAAAAATCGGACAAAGGGGCAATTTCGGTATTATGTCCGAAAATGAAGGTTGTTTATGGAATTCAAATTTTGGAGTGTCCTCGTCACTTGACAGACCGTATTAATGACAAACTAATTTTAAAAATGTAATGAATTCCATCTTCTGCGTCAGTGACAATGACTAGGGAATTTTGTAAAACATGGTAATGTGAGAGCCTAAAAAAATTTGAATGTGACTACCAAGGAAGTTAAGTGGGGGTTGAGATTGTTGGTTGAAATTGCATGGATTTGGTTAGCTTGTGAGTGATCTTTTGCTTTTAATTATTTGTTCAAAGCATGGAATCATGAGTAACTTTTTTTTTTCCTTGTTTCAATTATCTTGTCTTTACGATTCATAGAGAAAGATTTTTTATTTGTGGTGTGATGACCCACATAATTATGGCTTCTTTTCTTTTTCATATCTTCTAGGATATTTCGTTCTTTAATGCAACTTTCATAAAGATAAAGAAGGAAAATATTAACAAACTCAAGTTTAATGTTCAAGTTTCAATGTCAATATTTGAGAAAATATACTCTCTCTTTTTTTTTTTTTCTTTTTTTTCTTTTTTACGTATTAGGCAAATATGGAGGTAGAGTGATGAGTTTTTAACACTATTTGAAAAAAAAATTAGTTTCAAGGTACAAAAATTGGTTTAAAAACACCCAAAAGTCCAATAAAAAAAAGTATTGATTTTTTTGGGACTTTCCTATTTAATCTTCATGATTCATGCTTTTTTTTTTTTCTTTTTTCTTTTTTTTGGGTTTTGGCCGGCAACGAAGGTGATTCATGCTGAGTTAGGTTAGATTCTCCTTTTATTATTATTATTATTATTATTATTATTATTATTATTATTTATGCTAAATAGTTAGAGAAAACGGAAAAAAATAAAAACAGACCAACTTTTTAGTGGACTGAAAGTTCTTAAAGAATTGTAGCCCAGAGTTATGGACCTTCTGGTTCTGGACCAGATGTTTTTTGGGCTGGACAGCGCTAACAAGTAATAACAATTTATTATAGGCAGGCCGAAAAGCAGAATCATTTGCCCTAATTAAGTCTATCCCGTATCCATGCTCAAGAAGGCCCACATCACAAAACCAGATCCACCTTCTACCCTTTATAGAAGCACAGTCCAAAACCCCTCATCTTGTCGTCTTCTTCCTGTCTTGAACAAAAAGAAAGCAGAAAACCCTCTTAACTACTCCAATTCGAAGAGGGACAACAACGGAGGAAGTTCCCGTTTTTGCAATTCATCGGTGAAGCGATACAATCGAACGGAGACGTAGAAGACAATGTTCAGAAACCAGTACGACACTGACGTGACGACATGGAGCCCCGCCGGCCGATTATTCCAAGTGGAGTATGCAATGGAGGCGGTGAAGCAGGGGTCTGCGGCGATCGGGCTCCGATCCAAGACCCATGTGGTTCTGGGTTGCGTTAACAAGGCTAATTCCGAGCTGTCTTCTCACCAGAAGAAGATCTTCAAGGTCGATGACCACATTGGGGTTGCCATCGCTGGCCTTACCGCCGACGGTCGTGTGCTTTCTCGGTACATGCGAAATGAATGCATCAATTACAGTTTCACTTACGAGTCGCCACTTCCTGTAGGGAGGCTCGTCGTGCAGCTTGCAGACAAGGCTCAGGTTTTTGCAAAAAAATCCAACCTTTCTTGTTTCTGTGATTGTTTTTCACTTGAATTGCGTTTTTATTACATTTAGGGTTTAGTTTAATTAGTGGGTCACTTTGATTTCTGGGTTTTTAGGAAAGGGAAGGTGATTTAAGGTTTTTACCAAATCCTCAAGTTTTGTTAACACACTCTTTGAAGCAGCTCGCTTTGCCTCTTATTTTTTCTATATGAATTGCAAAATCATAATGGACATAAGATTCCCATGCTGTCCCAGTAGGTTTTCTGCATTGTTAAATCAGGTTTCTGGGGTATTGAGGTATTCTCATGAACTTTGCTCGAATGAATTATTGACTATACAGGATGCATCTGATATATTAAGTCTTGAAGGCGTCTACATGAATGCTTTTCTTTGAATTCACCTAGTCGACGGCCGTGGTCTGTCCATGAGTATGCTGACGTAGTTCAGATATCACTAAATTCTGAGAATAAATGGAAGTTTGAGACTTTTCAGAATCCCAATTTAGGTTGTTAGGTGCCTTTATTGGACATTCTGTGGTTTTAAACTTATGATTACAAGATTGAGTGAATTTTACAATTATGTGTCATGGAGATCATCTTAGTAACCGGCATTTGGGAGTAGGAGATACCATTCACATGGTAGCTTATGACTTTAGAATTGACTATTATAGATAAACTATCATTTTCTTTTCTTAAGCCAACTGCTGGATGGCTGCTTTTGGCAGTCTTGAGTCTTTTCTTGTTACACTTGTTTATCTGTAAAGAGAATTAGTTGGGGCTAAAGATTCAGCCTACTAACTTTATAATTTTAGATGTTTTAGTATTAATGGTAAGACTGCCTTGAAGTGGCTGTTTCCGTTAGGGTTATTTTTTCTTGATTCAATTATTGAGGATTATACTTAAGAAGGTTAACCATTTTACTGGGGTAATTATACTTTCATCCTTTTATATTTATTTCGAATTGTAAAAGCCTCTTGTTTTGTAATGATGCATAATAATGAGAATTCAGGGTTAGGTAAAATCCTTCTCTCACATATGAATGATGTAATTGAACTCAATTGAGTTTTTGACTCAAACTTTTGTATAATGGATGAAATTACATTCCTTTGGAGGTGAGAAAACTTTGCATATAGTTAGGTTTTGGGAAAAGTAGGAGCAGTAGCAGATTGTCTATTTTATTGTCAAACTTTTTTTTTTTTGTTTTTCCTCTTTGCTCAACTAAGTGAAATGTAGTTGATACATGGTAGCTATTTTTTTAAAAATAAAATAAAATAAGTTGTACCTTGTATTTACTATATATATCCGTGTCTGCGATTGAAAAAAGGGAAATGCTTCTGTTTGGGTGGCAGGTGTGCACTCAACGCTCATGGAAACGGCCATATGGTGTTGGTCTATTGGTAGCTGGTTTGGATGAATCTGGAGCTCACCTCTACTACAACTGCCCAAGTGGAAACTACTTTGAGTATCAGGCTTTTGCTATTGGGTCTCGCTCCCAAGCTGCAAAGACATATTTGGAACGTAGGTTTGAAAACTTTATGGACTCTTCAAGGGAAGATCTAATTAAGGATGCTCTCATGGCAATAAGGGAGACCCTGCAAGGAGAAACTCTCAAAAGTTCAATATGCACAGTGGCTGTGGTAGGGGTTGGAGAACCATTCCATATTTTGGATCAAGGAACTGTACAACAAATGATTGATGCATTTGATATTGCGGGAGAGCGAGAGGCTCCTGCTCCTGAACCAGATGAGGCAGAAGAGCAGGGGGCTGCAGAAGAGCAGGGGGTTGTGGCAGAGCCTGGTGATGGTGCAGATCAGGGTGGTGCCACTGATGAAGGTGTGGCTCCAATGGATATTTAAGTATGCAAGAACTGCTGGTGCCTCTTTCTTTGGATTTAGATGAGATTTTCTAAAATGTATTTTGCAGAATTCTGTTGGGCATCATAAAGCTCTATTCTGTTGGATTTTCACCTGCTTCTGCAAATTATCTGTATTTTCACTGCTAACATTTAGTGCCAGACTCTGCTGGAACTTAAATTTTCATTTACAATTACTCTCATGGCAGAATCAATTTGACTTTGGTGATGTTTGGCCTGCCTATGTTTGACCCTGCTTTTTTCGATCGAATTTGTTGCACATCTCTTCGAGGATTGAGGCATTGAGCTATACTTTCCTAAAATGAGGAGGCTGTGTGAAATGCATGAAAATTTGCATCAGAGCAACTTACAACACCCATAAACAACAGACAAGCAGAGACATTTTCATGGTGGATCTCTCCTCTGAGTCGCCCATCAGCTCGTGGCGTTTTCTATTATCTATGTTCCCTCTTCTATTTGTTGTCTAGGGATCAAGAGACTGGTGAGGTAAGAAGCGGGGGGCGGAGTTTACATGTGCAAAGCCACGTTCATTCCCTAAATGACTGACAATCTGAGTTCTCACGTTTAGATGGTAGAACTGTCCCAATGGTGATTAATCTTGTCATGGTTCTAATTTAGTGGATGTACAAACAGTTCCAATCTCGGAAATTAGCTCTGCCTCTATTTGATTCTAAATCCTTGTTTCACTCTTTTGCCACAATAACAAGTTTGCAATTTCTCAATAGTTAGCGTCAGTAAAGGGGCGGTTTGATTCTTGCTACAGGCTACTTTGCTCATATTCATGGTAGGTCTCACGCAAAAACATAACAGTGCAAAACCAAAAACAAATAATCCAGAAAACATGCAATCTTAGGTACGGGGATATTAAACATCAACAAACATGCCAATTCATAGCATTAGTCTATATCCAGTGAAGGAAATTAATCCACGACCAACCACTGGATGTGCTGAGATTGAATGTTAAGAAGATGTAACAATTCTAACCTAGAGCATGTCTGGTATTATTGGGAAACAAAGTCATTTCTTGTATTTGCATATAACAACAAATAATCCTTGATGTCAAATCTCAAGATTTGAACCAAACAAAAAAAAAGGAAAAATACCTTGTGAAATTATCACTTTTGAGAAGCCTTTGCTTCTTTATTTGGTAAGATATTATCTGGAAGAATTAGTTCTGGGGGAGTTTCACGCACTACACCCAGCATTGAGTCATACTCTTCATCTCTATGAGCAAACTTCTTACGAAGAGACTTTTCAAATTCAATCTCCTCAAAGGACTTGGCATTCTCAGCTGCATGAATTTGCGCAAGGTTGACATAATTGGTAGCCGACTTGGAAATAAATTTTATCTCTTCGTTAGTAAGCTTCCTCAGGAACTTTGCTGGGTTGCCTCCCCATACCTATGACATCAGAAATTACCAAAAAAAATAAAGATTAATTCAAGTAAAGCCATATAATGGTTAATGATCTCCAATAGAATTAATTTCGTCGACCCTTTCCATGCCTGAAAGGTATCCAATTATTAGGAACACGTTTTTTCCACTCATTCCAAAAAAGTGACAACTGACACCATATTGTCAAGATTGCTTGACTTGGGATCACTCATGATCTCAAAATACACCTACACCAATCACAAGGCCTTTGATATTTCATTTCTCATAGTAGTTTTCAATCCAGTTCTTCTCCACCTTTCTCTACTAATATAAACCAGTAACCCACTACTCATTTATCACTTTCTGATACCCTATGGCTCAAACATCTATACAAATGGTAGAAATTGTGTTAGTATTTAGGAACTCACCTTGAAGTATCATATCATAATTTTATCTTCTATTTACACTGCTTTTTATTTCCAATATACTATCCCTAGTTTCTATTTATGCTTGCTAGCATTGGACATAGAAGTGTATTTCATAATTTTTACAATGTTCTAGTAAAAGGCCACTTGGAAAAGCATTAGAAAGTGAGAATTTTCAATAAATACCTCTCCAGTAGGGATCCTCGTATCCTGTCTCACAAGAGCTCCAGCAGCAACCATAGCATGTTTCTCAACAACAACACCATCAAGCAATGTCGCTCCCATACCAACAAATGCTTCATCCTCAACAGTGCAACCATGTAAGACAGCACTATGACCTGCTCAATTAACCTTTTCAATTGTAAAAGAGAAAATGGAATGAACTTTTGTAATGTAGGTCAACTCAATTACGTGGTGTAAATCATTTCACTCACCAACAGTAACATTGTCCCCAATGATGGTTGGTAAGACCTTCCCACTTACATTAGACTTAGCAACATGCACAAGGGAGTTGTCTTGTATATTAGTTCGAGATCCAACGCTAATGCTGTTTACATCACCTATCCATAGATAACACTAGCATGAGTATCACCAATATCTACTAAAAATAATCTCCAAGGAACATTTTTGCAAATGTTAAAAATGAATAAACTGAGAAAGAAATATGATAATTTGAAACAGCTGATATCACCTAGAGTTATATCCAATGCAAACTTTATGTTTGCAATCTCTCTTGAACATTGTACCAAATAAATGATAGTTGGAAGCTCATTTCTAAAATACCATAGAATATATAATTGCAAACACTCTCAATTTCCTTTCTTATTTTATTCCAAATATTTGATTGAGATAATCAATGATTCAATCTTCCTTTTGTATTCAAGCACTCCTAGCAACAAATTTTGCCTACAACGCTGCAAGGGCAGTTGTAATAAATTTGAGACATTATATGAAATCCTTACATGGTGATAAGAATCAACCTTTAGTTACCATTTTTCCTTATGTAAATTTTTAATTATTGAGATAAACTTGGAGATTCTCTTAGATCTCTTAGTTTGGCCTTTCTTCAAAGGAAAAGGGTATGAAGTCTATTCAATTTTGTAAAACAAAAAGCAGCCAAGTGTATGCAAAGTATCATACCTCTTAAAACGCATCCATACCAAATAGAAGATCCTCTCCCCACTTGAACATCCCCAATGACAGAGGCACAAGGGGCCACGAATGCATCTTTGTCAACCACAGGAGCTTTATTAAATATGTTCATGATAGTTCGATGCCTGGACACTAAGATTAAGAATAAAGATCAACACATAGACTAAGAAACAGAAAGTAGGCTGAGGTGTTACCACCAAAATCCTATCCTGATATAAATCAACCACAGCAAGTAACAAGCATTGCTGCTAAAAAAACCATGATAATCATCTACTCAATGCCACTACCAAAGACATTATCTTGTCGTGCCATTAGGTACACAATGTAATTCCGAGAAAAATACTTGGATTTGTTACTTCAGATAATCATCCATAAACAAACCATTTGGTGAAATGCAAATTACCAATCAACAAGAATAAAGGTGAAAATATAAAACCTTCAGCGGCTCAGCTAAACTTGCAATAGAATCTGTCATTTCAGGGCATATAAAATAGCAAATGGAAACACTCGACAGCCTTTTTGGGAAAAAAAAAATTACACAGCCCAAACAGGAAAACTAAATTCCACACTTCGTTCCAGGACTAACATTAGTCAAGTTCGATTCTACCAATGAAAATGCTAGATTCTAATGGCCTAAACTGGTCACCACGCCTACACAAATCCGTGTTGATCTCGAAAGCCATAAACACAACAATTGAAGGATTCACAAGACGCAGCAGAAATTGGCTTGTAATGCATTCTAAGAGAGGGAAATGATGAAGGAGTAGCTTACGTTCCTCCCGGCAGTAGTAGTTCCCTTGGAGGCGCAAGCCGAGGCGATCAAGAGCCTGGCCGGACTCACGAATCCAGAATCCGACGGTGTAAATGGCCTTCCCTAGGGTTCCCATCTTCCGATACCGTCGATTTGATCGGCGATTCACCGGTCTCTTTTGCGACCTTGCAAGTTTTCAGCTCAGTTCGTGATTAGGGACAGAAGTTCGGAAGAGAAATGATACCCAGTTGGAACTGGTAGGGTAGAATATCCTAAACCTTCGCGAGGGTAAAATGGTATTTTCATTCCTCATTGGAAATTACGTACTGCAGCTAGTTTGCCGCTAAATAATCCGCAAGTTTGTCTCAATTGCAGCGAACTTGACAACTTTTCCTTTGTTTTTGTTAATCTATCATTTTATCTGTTGATGGAATTATTTACATTTTTAATCATAAATTTAAACTTTAACTCTTAATTTTTATGCGCAAAAAAAATAAAAAAACCTCTACTCTCCTTTTGTAAAAACTAATTTTATTAATTATAAACAGTAATAATAATTATCTGTCAAATTTTTAAAAAGTTAAAGAAAAAAATTAAGTTGTTATAATAAAGTGAATAAACTCACATTATAATAAATTTTATTAAAAAAATAAAATAAGTCATTTTTACAGTAAAAATAAAATAAGTCATTTTTACAGTAAAAATAAAATAAGTCATTTTTACAGTAAAAATAAAATTATTAGGATTTTTTTTATAACAAAATTTTAAAACAGCTAATTTTGTCGTGTTTAGCCGTTAATTTCCTGTATTCAATGTTTTAGACTTGTTCTTTGATATTTTATCTACCAAGAGCAATGCATAATGAAACCAACATATTCAATATAAAGTCGATTTTGTAAAGAGATTTTAAATCAAACATGCTTGCATTTTTTTAAAAAAAAAAATTTATTGATAAGTTGCAATGGAAAATGTTGGTGGATTTAAGATTTTGGAAGAAATCAAATAATGTTTTTAAACGAATTGCTTGTAAATCAAATAATGTAGATGAGTGTGTTTCTCTTGGTCAATAAATATTGTCATGAGAATTGTTGAGGGCAAAAGTTGAGCGGTTGATAGTTATAGAAATTAAAATAGCTATACAAATTTCCAATAAAAACATTGTAATTTGGGTTTTTTTTTTTCTTGCATATTAAGAGGTAATATCTTTTATACTTTAATTTATTCTATTAACATATCATGCAACTCTAATTTATAATCTTTTATGTTGACTAGAAAAATGTAATCACATACTTAAGTCATTGACAATTTGACATTCTTTATTATTATAGATTTAGGGGTTAAGATATAGCTAATTAATTGATTCATAGGACTTTTCATTTAATTAAGCATACCAAAATTCACGACCTTAGTTATTGATGGTTAGAAAAAAGGAATTTCATTAAAAAAAAGAAAAAAAAAAGGAGAAAACTTAATTTAAATAATCTCCACCAATAAAAATTGGTTAAATACCCTTTTTGGTCCCCCTACTATAGGAAAAAGTCCCTTTTTATCCCTGTACCCAAAAAATCCCCTTTTTAGTCCCTAAATTTCAAAATCCGGCCCCTTTTTGGTCATTCCGTCAGTTAAGTGACAGAGTGGCATTATAATCTGTTAAATATTTTGTCTTTTTTCTTTTTCATTGTTGACGTGTAATAACACGCTAATCAATAGAATGCCACATGGAAAAAATTGATGATGTGGACTAAAACAAACTTGATGGCATTTTTTTTTTTTCATGTGATATTTTTTTCATATTTAAATAAAGACTCATATAATTTATTATTATTATATTCTTTTTCTTCTTCCTCTTTTTCTTCTTCCTCCCTTCTTCTCTCTTATCCCTCCGCCCTTTCCTCTTTCTCAACCTTCTTCCTCTGCGAACCCAGCAAGGGGGTTCCATGAGGAACCCAGTAGCGGGTTTTGCGAACCCAGCTATTGGGTTTCGCAAACCCAGTCCCAAATCTGGGTTCCTCGCGGAACCCAGAGGAACCCGCTAACCCAGTCCCAAATCGAGTCCCGGAGAGCCTGACTGCTGCTTTCCCTTTCTTCAAAATTAATATTAAAAAAAAAAAAAAACCCCTCGAAAAAACAGTTTTTAATTTTTATTTTAATCCTTGTTTTGTGTTTTTCTTTGATGCTGGGCATGGCCGGTCTTGATTTAGGAACTGCTCCTCGTTACGTCCACCAGCTGCACAGACCCGATCTCCACCTCCAGCATCATCCAGAGCATGAAGACGGTGATGGAGAAGCTGGCGGTGGTGGTCAGTTCTCCGCCACTGATCACCACGACGATGGCACTCATCACCAAGGCTTGGACCTTGTCAGCATGGGGAACAACACCGGGCCTGGTGACATCGTGGCCAGGAGGCCAAGGGGTCGCCCACCGGGCTCCAAGAACAGACCTAAACCCCCGGTTATCATCACCCGTGAGAGCGCCAACACACTTCGAGCTCACATTCTCGAAGTTGGGAACGGCTGCGATGTGTTCGACTGCATCGCTAACTACGCCAGGAGACGACAGCACGGAATCTGTATTCTCAGCGGAAGTGGAACCGTCACCAACGTCAGCATTAGGCAACCAGCGGCGGCAGGAGCTATAGTCAACCAGATTTGGGACTGGGTTAGCGGGTTCCCGCGGAACCCAGATTTGGGACTGGGTTTGCGAAACCCAATAGCTGGGTTCGCAAAACCCGCTACTGGGTTTCATGAACCCAGGTCTTGGGTTCCTCATGGAACCCCCTTGCTGGGTTCGCAGAGGAAGAAGGTTGAGAAAGAGGAAAGGGCGGAGGGATAAGAGAGAAGAAGGGAGGAAGAAGAAAAAGAATATAATAATAATAAATTATATGAGTTTTTATTTAAATATGAAAAAAATATCACATGAAAAAAAAAATGCCATCAAGTTTGTTTTAGTCCACATCATCAATTTTTTCCATGTGGCATTCTATTGATTAGTGTGTAATAACACGTAAACAATGAAAGAGAAAAAATACAAAATATTTAACAAATTATAATGCCACTCTGTCACTTAACTGACGGAAGGACCACAAAGGGGTCGGATTTTGAAATTTAGGGACTAAAAGGGGGATTTTTTGAGTACAGGGATCAAAAAGGGGCTTTTTCCTATAGTAGGGAGACCAAAAAGGGTATTTAACCATAAAAATTTAACTAAATTAGTAATTACTAACTAAAAAATTTGAGGTAAATATTAAAAATTCAACCTTCTATGCTGTGAAACAAATCAACTCTTTAATGTCAAAAATAAATAAATAAATAAATAAAATAATCTCCATATTAATGAAAAAAGAAAGAAAGAAAGAAAAAGTCATCTTATTCAAACCATTATCGGTCTAAATAAGTTATTTGGGTCAACAGTGGTTTGGATAACATGGTCAGAATCTATTTCTTTGCTTGACGCCTCAAACCATACTTGATTCGTTCTACTCTCATTCAGTTATAGGACTTGAAATGCTTGAATTCCAAAGAGTCTAAACTTAAACCCTATAGTTTTAAGCATATGCATTTGTTGTTTTGCAATGATGTGGTCTTACAACATCAATAACTAACTTCGGGTGCATAACCAATGGTGCAAGTGTTAGGGGCAACTAAAATGGTGAAGTGTACAAAATTAGCTTTGGTAAAAATGGAATTGGGGCACAAGAAGACAGTGTTATCCTTAAATTAGAAAAAAAAAAGAAGAAGAAGAAAAGTTACCTTTTTGGACCATTACTAGTCCGAATAAGTTATCTAGACTAATAATGGTCCTAATAACATGGTCAGAATCCATTTCTTTACCTGACACCTAAAACCATGCTCGATTTGTTCTACTCTCATTCAATCACAGGACTTGAAACGCTTGAATTCCAATGAGTCTAATCTTAAAGCCAATAATTTTAAGCCTACGCACTTGTGGTTTTACAATGATGTAGGCTTACACCATTGATAACTAACTTCAGGTGTATAACTGATGGTGCTGGGGTCAAAGGCAACTAAATTGATGAAGTGCACGAAATTGACTTTGGTAGAAACAGAATTGGGGTATGGGAGGGTGGTGTTGTCCTTCAAGGAAAAGTTATCCTGACCAGTAGTGGTCCAAATGACACGACCATAATCCATTTCTTTACCCAACACCTCAAACTGTGCTCAATTCATTCTACTCTCGTTCAATCACAAGACTTAAAATGCTTGAATTCCAATGAGTCTAACCTTAGAATCAATAGTTTTAAGCCTACGTGTTTGTGATTTTGCAATGATGTAGTCTTATGCCATCGATAACCAAGTTTAGGTGCATAGCCAATGGTGCAGGGGTCAAGGACAACTAAAGTGGTGAAGTGCACAAAGTTAGCTTTAGTAGAAACAGAATCAAAGCACGGGAAGGTGGTGTTATCCTTAAATGAAAAGAAGAAAAAGTCATCTTATTCGGACCACTACCAATCCAAATAAGTTATCCAAACCGATAATGGTCCAAATAATATGGCCAGAATCCGTTTCTTTGCCTGATGCCTTAAATTGTGCTTGATTTGTTCTACTCCAATTCAATCACAAGACTTGAAACGCTTGAATTCCAATCAGTCTAACCTTAAAGCCTATAGTTTTAAGCCTACACATTTGTGGTTTTGCAATGATGTGGTCTTACACCATTAGTAACCAACAGTGCAGGGGTTAGGGGCAACTAAAGTGGTGAAGTGTACGAAGTTGGTTTTGGTAGAAACGGAATTGGGGCATGGGAATGTGGTGTTGTCGTTAAATGAAAAGAAGAAAAAGTCACATTATTCAGATCATTACCGATCTAAATAAGTTATCTAGATTGATAGTGGTCCGAATAACATAGCCAAAATCATTTCTTTGCCTAATGCCTTAAATTGTGCTTGATTCCTTCTACTCTTGTTCAATCACAGGACTTGAAATGCTTGAATTCCAATGAGTCTAACCTTAAAGCTAATAATTTTAAAGCTATGTGTTTGTAGTTTGACAATGATTTGGTCTTATACCATTGGTAACCAACTTTGGGCGCGTAACCTATAGTGTAGAAGTCAAGGGCAACTAAAGTGGTGAAGTGCACGAAACTGACTTTGGTAGAAACAGAATCGAGTCACGGGAGAGCATTGTTATCCTTAAATAAGAAAAAGAAAAGGTCACCTTTTTGGATCACTACCGATCTGAATAAGTTATCTGGACCGACAATGGTCTAAATAACTTGGCCATAATCCATTTCTTTGCCCGATGCTTTAAACCATGCTCAATTCATTCTACTCTCGTTCAATCATAGGACTTGAAACGTTTGAATTTCAATGAATCTAACCTTAAAGCCAATAGTTTTGAATTTACACATTTGTAATTTTGCAATAATGTGGTCTTATGCCATTGGTAACCAACTTTGGATGCATAACCAACGATATAGGGGTCAAGGGTAACTAAAGTGGTCAAGTGCATGAAATTAGTTTTGGTAGAGATGAAATCAAGGCATGAGAGGATGGTATTGTCCTTAAATAAAAAGAAAAAAAAAAGGTCATGCTGTTCGGACCACTATTAGTTCGAATAAGTTATCTAGATCGATAGTGGCTCGAATAACATAGCGAAGATCCTCTAAACTTTTTGTTCTATAACCTAAAATTGTTCCTCATTTTTATACAATTTTAAAAATATTATACAATATAATTTTTCAAAATAATTCTAATATAAAATATATTTTATAATATTAATTTGTTATAAATTAATTATACAAAATATAAATAAAA